ACATGAATTAATTCTAATCGTGGGGAAAGATTAGAAACCTTGGATTAATTTTCCTGCACACTTAGCACAAAAATAGATTAAACTCTTTTGAATCATGATTTAAAATCATCATCAAAATACAAAGAGAACCTAACATGAGGGAATAGAGTTGCAGGTGAATTAGAAATTTAGAAATAGGGTTAGAGTGTATGGTTAAAATGGAAAAATAAGAGCCTGTTTGGTGCAGTTCCTAGGAGCTTCAGCTTTTGGACACTATCCATGTCTCATGAATTTAAATTTTCCTCTTAAAAACTTACACTTTTAAATATTTTTTTAACCTAAAAAAGCTCTTAAACAGTAAAAATTCAAAAGTTTCAAATCCAAACTTTTCATAAATTTCCTTTTTACTTACTTTTCACTCTCTTTTTCACTTTCCTAAAAGCTAAAACTCTATTTTCCCTCCAATAAAAATTTAACTTATCACTCATAACAGTACTCAAAAAGCTAAAGCTCTCACAAGCCACACCAAACAGGCCCTAACTTAGGGAATATGGAGATGTTTTATTTTTATTTTTTAATTAAGTTAATGGAGTTATTATCTTCTAAAATAAGAAAAAACAATTTAAAATACTACAAAAAATATGTTATATTATTTAATTAAATTATTTTCTAATTAGATTTTATTTTATACTCGGGCAATTCGGATGTTTTGGAAGTAAAATCACAAACCAAACCAATTATATCGGTTTAAAAATTTTAGAATTCAAACCAACCTAATTTTATATCGGTTTGAATCGATTTTTTATTGGATTGGATCAGTTTAGGTTGGATCAATCAGATTGGATCAGATATGAACACCCTTAGGTTGGTTTATCACTTCTTTGGCAACCATAGTAGTAGCAGGATAAGTTACATTTATTTCAAAACTAATCATAGAATTAGTAAAATTCATAATATTAAAAAAAATTGCTAAAAATATGAAGAAATAGATGTCAAGATCGTAATAACAACTCAATAAAATACCTCATGAAGGATTTGAGAATTGAGAATAAACAATCAAATTTGTAGAAGAAGAAATCCTAATGACAAAGTATTACATTTGGAATGGATTTGAAAAATCTAACTCAAAAAACCAAATAACGATGATAAAAGAAAAGAATTAGGAGTTTATAGCTCGTTACCATATTAGAAATAGAGAAGAAAAAAATAATTTGAAGAGAAGTTTATCGTTTTCTTCTTTTCATTGTATATATAAAAGTCATATCTATAAATCTATGCAATAAAATATTCTTAGATATAAAACTATATAATAAAATATTTTTAAATATAAAATAAATTAATTTAAATAAATATAATAAATTACAATATAGATATATTCTAAAATAAATAGTGATATTCTAACACAAACAAAACCGCGTGGCTTAAGTCCAAATTTCACTATCAGGGAATGGCAACTGTTTTCCCACATGCAAATCTCTTAACTCAAGAGCAAGCTTTGAGGGTGCAAGTAACCGTGAATTCATCAGCCTGCACGGAGCTTTCACACATCTTTTTGAATAGGATAAGCGCTTGATGATTGGATTGCTTCATTGGGAGCCCTATTCTTATGATGTTAATGTTCTGGAATCTGGTTCGTCAATGTTCTGGAAGATTTGCAGTGCATGGTCAATGGTCGTGGAGAAGAACACGGCGGATTCCAGGAGGTTCACCGTAACAGAGGAATTGAGATGGAGGCGAGTTTTGATGGTGGTCTTGCATTGTTGATCAGTATTGTTGGATTTTCAGGGAACTGGGAAATGGTGGTTATGGCAGTTACGGTTTCAGCTGGTAAAAAAATCGCCATTGATGCTATTAGCTATTGGATTTAAAATTTTGACCGCGACAGAGGTCAAGCAAAAACCCAACACTGTGTAGTTGAGTGGTTACAAGAGCCAGTTTTTAGGGAATGAAAATAATTATACAACATTCGGATTCTTTGTCTTTTAATCTCGGCCACTTGAACATCTAGAAGAATGGGATTCGATATCTTTGTTTGACGTTATTCCACGTCCTTAATGCTGCCGACTTCAAGGATTCTTTGGTCCTCCCTGCCTTTTTTTTTTTGGGTATTTAGTTCCTTTCCAAAAGATGAAGAGAATCAGATGCAACCTTTATCATTTTCGAATAAAGAATTGTTATAGTATCTGGCTATATAAATTGCTGCTTCCTTTCCAATGCATACTCATAGCAGGGGAATAAAGGTAGTAGCCAAGGCCAACAATGGGGAGGAGCCTTGATTCTATTTCTAATGATTTCCACACTCATATTACAATGGTAGAGAGGACGCCCAGCCTCCTAACTGATGTCCCTCAATACCCTAATGTCCACAAGGTCTTCAAAAACACGGGGTACAACCAGGAGGAACTTGATCAGTCTCAGCAACAGCAGCAGTCCTCTGATAAGGCTAAGAAGGGCTTTGTTCTATGCAAATGGAAGACCTTCCAAGCGAAATAGATTTCAACTTTGGGAGCCCATGGTAATGGTAGTCATGGTTATGTAATAATAGTGTAGCCAACATAAATAAAGGCCTTATCTTTGGTCTGCCACTGCTACCATATATAGATTGTTATTGAGGGGTGGCAGGCTAGAACCAATGCATTTAACAAATTATCATACTAGTTATTGATTATTTTATGGTTTTCAGTCTTGTTCTATCCATTTATATATTGTACTTGTGTAGTAGTGTTTTTCATTTTGGAAGGGCTGTTTTTCATTGAAAGAAAAAAAAAAAAGGCTCAACATTCAGGCACTGAATTTAACTGAACGCCAATAATGAAATGTGAAAATTAACTACGAATTTCATGATCTGCAATTATGCTGTGGGTAACTCAGTAAATTGACTGGAAGATAAGCACAGCTTCTTGCTTAAAGAAAGTCATTTAGCTTCAATGTGCTTGTGTCATCAGTCATCACTATCAAGAGCTTTGCACAAAATTTCAAATAGGAGGAAAAAGAAGAAACAAGAATGCTGTGTTGTGCTACGAATCAAATTCACTCAAAATGGATTAACAGCTTCACCAGGAATATTAGCCTGATTGAATCTCCCAGAAGAGACACGATTAAACAATTTCCTAAGGCTATTCTTGCTCTCCTTCCTCTTCCTATGCACCCTACTCGAATCACCTGACTCTAAGAAAGGGTTATCTAAAACTAGTCCTGTCTCCAACCTTTTGGTCACAGTCACAATCTCATAAGAATCCCACAGGGATTGCCTGAAGTCCCAGTTCGCAGCACCGATACCCTTATCCTGCATCTTGTTCATTGCTTCTAGCTTGAATCTTGAGGGCTTACCTCTGAAATTTTGTCTGTGGGCATTGAATTCATTGGTGGGGCTAGAACTACCAGAATGACTATGCCACGCCTGTGCCACTGCCTTGATGAGTTCGAGGTCGTATCGGTGGTTATCATCATCTTCAAGCTCTGGCCTTTTTTTCATGGTGCTTTTGGGGGTAAAAGTGCCGTAGCAGGGGCCATGTTATCTTAGCTGAATTAGAGCCTCACAAGGTTATAAATATCAAGGAGAAACAAGCTATTGTCCGTGTCTCTATGCCACGAATTCTGCACGGACTGTTATCGTTTGGGTCCGTTGATGTCAACCTAATGTGAGGTGACGGCTAAACCATGGGTTTAGTCTTCTATGGTATTAAATTTTGAAGTTTGTACTTACTTTATGTTATAAATTTTTTAGCCTGTAAGTTAAAAAATTAAAAATTTTTAGTTCTTAAATTAATAAAATTTGTTCATTTTTTATTAAAATGAGAATAAAATATTATAAGATTAGTTTTCAAAAATTAATAAGTTGATAGTTTAGGTTCAAAAGTTTAAAAATTAAAAAATTTAATAAATTAAAAAAATTAATAAATAATTTTACTATATATACGAGAATATTATAAATTTGTAATTAAATTGAATAATTAGTTTAATATAAAATTTTTTTGATAAAACGTAAAAAAATTTAACTAAATTAAAAAAAAAAATTTAAGAGATTAAAAAAAAATCTAAATGATAAAAATATATAATTATACAATTTACATGTTATATTTAAAGAAGTCATTAGTCTAAATTACTAAGGAATCCATTTTTTAATAATTATAATTGGGCATGCAGCTGCGAATGGTCTGTGTTTTTTGTAATCTGAAGCCAGTAACCACGCGGGGTATTAAATCATACGCGTTCTTGCTGCTTCCATTAGTGATCACACAAAGCATGGGCGCATCCTGGGGGTCCTGGAGGAGCACAGGGCCCCCAAACTTTTGAAAAGTTAATAAATTAGTACTTATTTTTTAGTTAAATTTATTTTGATCCTTATTTTTTTTCAATAGTTAACTTTTATTTTTATATCATTTTTTCTTAAAATAATTTATTTCATATAATTCATTTTCTTGTCTCTTTATTCATTATATACTACTTTTATGATGTTGAGAAAGATAAGAAATATGAAAAATATGAAAAATAAAGAATAATTGAATGATAATCGATAAATTTTTACTTTGATTGTTTTTTGTTTTGACAATTGTTGTTTGGATTATATTTTAAATTACTATTTTGGCATATCCTTTTAATCATTTCTAGTTGAAAATAAGAAATACGAAAATATAATTATAAAAATGCTTACGATTAAAAATTAAAAAAATACTAATTGTTAAGAGGGTATAATAGTAATTTTAACTCAATTAGGAAAAACATTTTTGTTTAAATTGAAATTCCACAATTTTGTATGGTGATTAATGACCTTAAATTTTGTCCCCCTTACATTAATTTCTTGCTCCGCCACTAACACAAAGGTAAGCAGATTTACATACCTTCACTTCCATCTTTGGTTGCATTTTCCATTGTCTATGTAGGATTTGATTTTTATTATTTTCTAATAATAAAATATTAACATGTTTTTACTTGCTGAAATCCTCTTGAGTTACTTAGTTGAAATTGATAGCAGAAAAAAAAAAAATAGTCGAAATTGCTAATGTTGGTGTAGTCACAAAAATTGTTTAAAATCAAATAAGGTATATTGATTTACAAAATAAATACAAATTATAATGAATTTAAAAGAAATAGAAAACAATCTCTAACTTGAGGTGATACAGTGCATGTGCTTGAACTTTAAAAAGTCACATGTCATAGAATAACACGATCCTTTGAATAACAACTGAGTTTATAATGACAAGGGTCTAAGCTTGAACTTGTTCTTCATGGGATTTGAGATTTTTTTTTTTTTTTGTTTGAAACTTTTCCTCATTGGCAGGGGGTTGAAATCTTCCTTAATTGGAACTTGGAACTTCAAGAATTGTTGAGGGCTTGAAGTTTGCTATTCCTCTTCTTTCCTACTTCTTCCTTTTTTCCTTCCTTTTACATCAAATGAATGGTCTATTCATAGCCAAAGGAAATTTACCAAATGACCTCAAATACCCTTCACTTTAAGAATAATTTAGTCATTTTATAACTAAATTTATTTTAATTAAAGAGAAAATATTTCTTTAAAGATTTATTACCCCAACTTCCAAGATTTTACTAGGGTAGATATATCTTAATTTTTTTTTAAAAAAAAAAATTTAATGTCTATAGTTGGTTGCAAACCCATGGCAAGAAAATTCATATTTGATGTGATGGCAAAATGTGATTCTAATATTAATGCTTTTGATTATCTTCCTATGCTTGTCTTGATTGTATGTGCTATGAATGAATATAACTTTGCCATTATGATGCTTTTTAGGTTGAATTGGTTGAACCACCCAAGTCAACTATTGTTGGGGAGTGAGTTACTTTTCTTGGTTTTAAAGCTAAACCAAATGATGTTTTAAACCCTAAGAAAAGGGTTTAGGAGATGCTAGAAGTCGTTCTACATTGTGATGAAAATCATGTGGTGTGTTACAAACATATTCCTTTTACCACCACACTAGTAGGTGTTTGCACTGTTTCCTCTATTTGCAATGGTTCGATTGCATAGACATGCATTGCTCTTATAGCATGAAAACCCTTCATCAAATCACTTCTAGATAGGTTGTTTCTTTTATGCGATTGTGGCCATGGGTGTTTGATAATTATTAATTACTCCATTGGACAGCCCTTTGTAAAGAAAGGGATAATTTCTATTCGGATTGGTAATTATTGTGATAAATTCATAATTTAGATAGTAAGTTGCCATATATTTTTCCAAAGTGCACCTACTCGTGACTCATTCTATATTTTAGAAAGTGTTTACACCTAATTTTGCAACAAATAGAACAGTGGAATGTGTCATCCATGTTGGTAGGTATTTTGTTTGTTGAAGGATCGTTTTGTTGATGCAAATTTCTCCCAGATAAAGTTCAATGGTTGTTTCCACATAATTAACAAAGCTATTCGATTGTTGTGAATTTTTAGGAATGTAATCAACAACATCAACAAGTTAATTAGTTTGTTGCAGATTTCATATTGTCGTTGGTTTTCAAGATGCTACTGTAAATCTCTAGCATGTTGCCAAGGTTGTTTACTACTATAATACATAAAGATGAAATCAAGCAAGACAGACCAACTGCTCACATAACAAGCTCAAACTATTTCTTTTAATGCTCAAGTTCATCTTAGTTTTAAACCCCTTACGTTAGTTGTAGCTCTACACTTCAGCTTGCATTAGCCTTCAACTTAAGTTTAATGTCTTTTCCTTCAGAAATCCTAAATATTAGTTATAATTTTCAGAGGAGGCAATTCAATTCCTCTTTTGTTGGTTTGGTAATGGTAAGATTCACTACCTTCAATAATGGTTTTTTGCATTTGGATTGCTTCTTTTATTATTTTCCTAAGTTCTTTTAAATTAATCAAGCAATGTTGATATTCAATTTCATATTTTGTTTTGTTTCTGTTGATTTATATATTTTATGCCATTGATAGATTTTCTATGTTTTTAGCTTCATTTGCTCTAACTTAATTTGTTTTTCTATATCTAGATTTCCTTTTGAGACCTTTATTTTAACTCAATTTGCATATTTAAAATTTATTTAGACATTCAGTAGCTTGGCAATCATTTACTTTTTTTAAGCAAAGCAAGTGGCACATGTCAAGGAGATTTTTTGGGGATAACAATCTCTTTTTGGCATGACTGGTGGGACCCATCGTGGGTTTCACAAGTTCATTGATCATATCCTTTGCTATTAGATTGTGCCACCATGGTAGCTCTTTATTTTGATGACTATCATCTCCTCACAACTTTGCCACATACTCTCCTTAAGTCAATCTACTCTATGGTGAGGAGGCAACCACAGGTAGCGAGTTGTTAAAATCACTCACTAAAATGATAACTGATATTGATGAGAAATCTAAAAGGCTTTATGAGGAATGGAGGAGAAGTTTAAAGGAATGTTGAAAAAGATGCAAATTAAACGGAAATCTTCCAAAACTTGAGACTTTTCAACTTAAAAGTGACGTCTTAATGGAAGATTCAAAGAAGTACCATGCAACCACATGTCCAGGAACTTTGAAGTAGTTTTGCAAATCACATTACGTAATAGAAATGTTACCTATTGCAATGAATGAAGATCAGATGACACTAGGGATAGAGAGTAACCCCACAATCACACTTAGGGGGCCTGAATCACAATTGCAATGTGCTACCCAAAGTCAGTGACGCTATGTAGCTTTGCAGGTGACTTCAACAAGTATTTCTCCAAGTCATTCAAAGTCTGTAAAGACTTGTAATAGCAATAGTCCTTATACTCTTAGGAGGCATAAACCAACTCAGTTGCAAACATGTTAGCAATCCATTAATTAGGGCCTATTTGATGGTCGACAACAAGCTGATGCTGCCACACAAAAGCTAACACTTTCAGTTAGCATCAATACATAAATCTAATTAGGTATCGACCTCATCTATTTTTACTTCTTTTAAGACTAACAAGCATATTCCTTTTGCCTTACTCAGTTCACGGTGACCGTGCTTCCTTAATGATTAAAGCCCTTCCAAGTTCAACTATGGACAAGGGTTGAAGGTGGAATATCCCTTTAAAGTTATTAGTCTAAAGAGGAGAGTTATTTCCTGTCTCGAGTGGCAACCTAATTAGAACAAGCAACAGAGGTTGTAAGACCTTATTGCCAAAGAAGTTCCCAAAGCTATAGAAAAAGAGGCAGCAAGGCTTGTGTTGTTGTAGCCTGATGCCAATCCAAGCCTTTAACCAATGCTACCACAACAAAAGCATGTCTACAAGCCTATTCCATCTTAGCAACTTGTAGACTCATTGCCAAAGGTTACTTTGGAAACATGTAGACCACCATGTTATCTAACATGTTGTAGGCCATATTTAAAGAATAATGATTTTTTTCGGAGTAACTTTCACAAAAGATTCCTAGATTTTCCTTGTATACACAAATATTACATGGGAGGTAGCATGAGAAACACCATGCCTTCATGTCTACCAACTCCAAGAAGAAGGAGGAGGAGGAGATCTAATGACCTCAATTGGACATGAAAAAAGGAACTTCAATAGTAGAACCATGTCTCCCAT